GTTTCAAATTGACCAGAAGTAAAAATAACACATAACTCATAGAATGGGTTCTTCTCATCTAGTTCTTGTTGTTGTGCAGCCATTTTAAGATAAGTGAAGTCTTACCCGACCAGGTGGTGCAATTAGAACTGTTATACCATTCTGAGCAAATAAGAACTTTTCATGTATAGGTTTATCTGAGCATTTTCTAATTCCTCTGTTCTTGTTTAAAACATTCTCAAATTTTTTGTCAATGTCAGCAAACTTTTTTTCTAACATATTTTTAGAAAAATTAAAATTTTTATCTTTTAGAAAATGTCTAGCGATTTCGCTATCTATATTCGAGACAAGCTTTTCGACAGCAAAACATCTGTCGACCATAAAATCTTACATAGTGTAAACAGAAAGGTGAATTTGTTCTAAAGTTCTGTTTCTGGGAATATGACCAGAACCATAAAACATTAAGCAGAGCAGTCTTAAAATTTGTCAATGACAGACTTGTTGACAGAGATGACGCCGATTGGAAAGATGAAGTCCAACAAAAGTTCTTAGAATGCAAAGAAGACACATGCGCTGTTCTTGAAGATGAAATAGAAAACAGAATAGATGAGCTATTAAGGACAAAGAACTTTTACATAAATATGGTTCGGAGAAATTTGACATAACTCCACCAGAAAAGAAGAAGAAAGAAAAGAAAGAAAAGAAAGTAGAAGAAGAGAAGAAAGAACCTGAACCAGTTCCAGAGAAAAGAAATTTGACATGTAAAAATAAAATTTTATTTTTAGAACATTTTCTGGGTCAATGTCAATGTTTCTCTTTCCTCTTTAGGAGAAACACTGGCTTAGACTCTAAAATCTTTTTACCCAATTTACCTTGAACTCTCAACTATTAGACTCATAATATTCATAGTCGTCTGCTTTCTTTGGTTCATAAGGTATAACAAGTTTGTATGCTTGCCTTCTTTAAGGTTTGAAACCTTCTGTCAAAACTTTCTTTGACTGTAACAAACCTTCTATGTCTAAGTCTTCAAATTTCGCACCATTTTAGTCACAATAGCAAACTTAACTGGTTCGATGTTCCAAACTTTGCTGAATGAAGACTTTTCAAAAAGGTAGAAGTAAACATTCAAATATGTGAATGGGTCTAGTTCTTCTTTTAAGTCCTGACATTTTACTGTTTTACTGAGATGAATTTTCATCTTTTCTATCGGATAAAAAAAATATTTTTTTAAAATAACTTAGAAAAATTATTTCTTTATATATTGCCATTCTGAACTTCGAAAAGATGTTTTATACCAGCATAGAATTTTTCTCTAGAGCTTGGTTCTTTATTTTCATGACAATATTTTCTATATTCTTCATATAAAGCCCTTTTTTCATACATTTCATAAGGACAATCTAACCAGAATAGCGCATATTCATTTTCGTTATCTAGGTCTCTATATGTTCTTCTGTTTGTAGAATTTCGCTTCTTATTTGTTCTCTATTTAGTTCTATGTCTAATATTGTGGCTTAAAAAGATGTTGGCAAGAAGGGTTTGGCGCTATGTAAAAAGTTAATTTTTCTGTCATCTTTTCTATCGGATAAAAAATATTTTTTTTTTAAAATTTACTCAGAAAAATTTTTCTTTGTATATACACCATTCTGTACGTCTAAAAGACTTTTGACATTTGCCAAGAATGTCGTTTAGACGTGTCATATAACCATATTCTTGACAATATTTTATACGAATCGTACAATGACCTTTCATCTAAAACACTCAAAGTCAGTTTCATCTATGAACAGTTCATATACACTCTTGTTTGCTTCTAACAATGTTTGTCTCTCTTCGGTATGTGAATTGTCTTGGATTGAACTTAGAAATATCTAATGTCATGAAATATGAGAACAAGTGGTTGTAAAAGTCAGATGTCAAAGTTTCTGCTAAGTCGTCAAAATATTCTGTATCTTGCATATATGAATCTGACGTTCTGACAACTACATATCTTCTGTCAGAACTTTCTAACTTCATCGGAACAGCATTGTTTTGAAACCATAATGAAGTTTGCAACATTTTCACAAACTCTTTGGTCTTTATATTTCTTTCAACAACTCCAACTTTGTCTGTTATAAGACTCTTCAAAGCATCTGAGTTCAAAACTTTTGTTGTATCTATACTTTGAAGTTCATTGCAAACTATAAGTTTCATATTCTCTATTGAGGAGTTAAACTTGCCACAGATGTTTTCTAAGTTTGTCTATTCGGGTTCGAATAGCCCTCTAACAGTTTGCATAAGATATCTGTAAAGAAAGTTTCTTACCGTTCCTGTTTTTTCCAATTATAATGAGAGCAGTTTCATTTTTAGCACTTGGATGTTGTAAGATGTTTGCAAACCAACATAAGATATACTCATAGACTCTTTCGTTTCCATTGCATATAATTTCTTTGACATGGTCTAACCAAGCTTCTATAATACTTTTCCATTCTACTTGTTTCATTTTATATCCAGTGAAGATAGAATAGAAGTTTGGAGAGAGGTGTATAGAACTTTATACTCAGAACTGAAAAATCTCTTAACTTTGACAATAAGATATCCCAAGCATCTAACATCTTCATGCCAACTTGTACGACTTTTATTTTCTTAAGTTTCTGTCTACATTCTTGTTCTGAAACTATTGTCGCTTTGGTTTGTTAAAGACTACATCCCATTCTTTCATAACATAACATTCTGGGGCAGAGTCGACATAAATGACTAAACGTTTCAAATTCTCGACTGCTTTGTTATAGTCTCAAATGGACACATATTTCTGAAGCTTGGAAGTCATAAAAATCTGAAAATCTATTCTGTACATTTTTATAAAAATAAAAAATATTTTTTTTTATTCTTGACTTTTGTTGTTGCATTTGTTGCATTTGTTGTCTTGAGCTATTTGTTGTTGAAGTTGTTCTTGTAATACAATACTTTCACCAGTTGCATCTTCCAATTCGAAACTTTCTGCCGTCATTGACAAATACATAGGACATAAAAGTTTTACAGGAACAAAGTTTGCGTCAACTAATTAAGTTTATTTTGCTAAAGTGTTTGAGTTACTAAAGGTGAAAATCTGCATTCGAATGAACAATAGGCAAACCAGCAGAGAAAGTTTGTTTTATACGCATAAGTATCTTTTGGTCATATAGTTTCTGTCGACATTCGAATAACACTTTGAACCTAAGTTTGAAACAATATATATAAATATGGTGTGCTTAAAGTCAATGGAAAGACATTCCTTGTATGACACCTTTTCCTGTTATAGGAAACTGTTGGTAGTAAAAACCAGAATAAGTTTTGTATTATAGCTCATATCGTTTATAGTAAACTCAGTCGGACATCCAAACATAATGAAACCTGCTCTAGTTGCAGCACATGTTACACCCGTACTTAAAGTATTAAATAAGTCAACAAAACCTGTTGTGGTATATCTGAGTAAGTATCTTTCAAAGGAGTATTTTTTACATTCACAACAATAAATCTTCTGGTGTCAAAAGAGCAAAACAGGCTTTTAGTCGTCATTGTGTTTAAAGTTAGTTTACAATACCGTCCTTGAGGACTTTGTAAGTTTGTTGTTATAGAATTATATGACTCAGGGTTTTTAGTCGTAATAGTATAAACCATTATATCTTCTGCCATTTACTTAGCAAATAAATTTTAATGAAATGTTGTGGTCGTCAAATATTTTTATGACGTCTGGGAAACTATACTTTAAGTTCAACGTTTCACCTCCTTTCATAACGTATATCTTGTCAATGACATTATATGAAACACCACAGCAACAATGTCGGGTTCTATTTCTTTGATGTTTATATCGTCTGCCTCTGTCAAAAGTTTCAATAGTTCTTTCAAGACTTCATGAGGTGCAATGACATATGAGTTCACTTTTACAGGGTTGTGTTCGACCAAGTTTAACATTATACTTAAAGCTTGACAAATCTTCTCCTGAGTTTGAAGTTTGTCTTTCAGTTGTTGGTAGTCGTTTCGAATATCTGCAACAGAACTTAAGTCTCTGCTAACTTCAGGATATGTTGGTTGTTCTTTTACAGGAACAATTGTTATACCATCTTCGTCTTCGTATGGTTTCCCCACTTCAACATCTCTGTCTTTGACATTGACAATAACACTTTGACTGTTTGTTTGAGTTGGTGAATTTAACTTCACATCTGCCACCGCCATTAAACCTTTTGAAACACTTACGCTTCTATTTTTCGGAAAATGACATTTTACTTAGAATAAAAAGATGGACGTATTCGAGTATCTCTTCGAATTGAAGCAGAACAAAGTTTACACACACAAACAATACAAATACATTGACAGAATAGTTCTTTATACAAACAATGGTAAATGTTATAGAATAGCAATATTTGCTGAACCAAAATATTTCCATAAAGCAAAGAAAGTTGGTATAACTGAAATGGTGAAAGTTCTTGACGTTGACAAAAATATAACAACAAAACTTACAGATATTTCTAAAGGTAAGTTTATCTTACAATATTATGTCAAAACTGGCGTACTGTCAATATTTGACGGAGAGAAGTCAGTTCAAGAACAACTTACTGACCTGCTGCCAAAATCTGCTCGATGGAAGCTGTCGTTATGCCAATCTGAGGAGCCCCAGCAGGTTTCATCGAACGAATCTTCAAAAGAGCATCTTCCGTGAAAAGTGCTATTGGTTTTGTAAACTTCTTTGCTCTCAGTTCATCTGGACCGTCTCTGTCACCAGTATATTGTATTTGTACAGTACCAACAGTTGAAATACCACCCATAAAGTCTTCTGAGTCAGCAAATGGAATGCCAAGCCAAAAGTTTGAACGGTCTCCATTTGTATATTGGTTTTTTGACCTCCTGTATGAGTCCATACTTTCACATATGGCATAATAGAACTTTGCATTTCAGGGTTAATGGTTGTTGTGAAGTTGTTGTTAAAGTTCATAGCATCTAATGTCAAGTTGTATGACCTCATATCCTCAACTGTAGAATATTCTTCTCTTGGATAATATTTGCCATCTATGTTTATATGATATTTAATACCGGGGTTGTAGAAACAAGAATAGTCATTTATAGTTCGTCTGAACAGTACAAACATAGTATCTGCATGTTTCATTGCAGTTGTTAAAGCAATATCTGTTCTTGCACCTGGGTCAGCACTTTGGTTTCCAACTTCACCTGCAAAGTCTTTGACAGATATTTGGTGTATAGGGAACATAAGTGGAACTGCAATATATTTGGCAGCTAAAGCATTTGAAATATCTGGGTCCAACATATAGACTGCAAGTCTGCTTTCTATTCTCTTGCATTCAAATTTTTCGCATGTAAACTTAACTGGGTCCCAAGCATCTCCAGCAGCATTGAAATAATAGTTTTACTTCAGTGTTGAGGTTTGAGAAACCAAAGTCTAAGTCAACTTTGTCTTTGCAAAATTCGGCGAATGACGTTTTATTTGTTCCCATTACGTCTGTAAGAGTGAATGGGTCTTGTGTTGGTGCAATGACTAAGTTATTTTTGCTTGGAGTAAGTTCGATAGAAATTTTTCCTGCCCAGTTTGGCAAGTATCTTAAAAACCTGAAGATGAGGAAAGATGACAAAGGAACTCTAAGTTTCAGTTTTACTTTGGTTACTGCTGCTGCAGTTTGTCCAGAAAGGTTAACATAAACTCCTGGAACGTTAGGGTCAAGTCTTCTTATTTTCTCAATGGTGGCATACTGGTCTGTTTGTTCTCTAGCTTGTGGTTGTACTGAGTTTCTCAAAGCGAACCATTCATAGTTTGCCCATGTTACTGTTTGAACTAAGTCAGAGTTAGAATATATCTTATATCCCATGAAAACTTCTGGAGCATATTGGTATCCGACATAGAAAATTCCATTGCAACCTTTCTTGTCAGACAACTTGGCAGAAGGTTTTATTTCAATGTCTTGTTCCACGTATAAGAATGAGTTGTCAATAGAAATAATATGAAACCTGTCGCAAGCAATATCTACTGTTGTTGAAGAACCTTCTCCAAACTCACCTACGTTTCCATAAGAAACAGCAGTTGTATATTCGTAAGTTCCAGGAACTATTTCTGACCTTCTAATGGCATTGTCGCATTCGTTATACCATTCGGAAACATTTCCGTTCATGGCATCCAAAACTGTTGGCGTTATATTCTGAGCGGCGTACATTTCATATGGGTAAAAATATAGAATAGTTGGATTTATGTCATAATTGTTTCGTACCAAGCTTTACTTTCTTCCTGACTGAGTTTTTAACTCTTCTTTTTCCTTCATTGCCACTACTTTCACTAGATGAAGTAACTTCTTCACTACTTTCACTTTGTTCTACTCTTCTCTTCTTCTTTGGTGTCGCTTTTGGTAACTTGCCCTCTGCTTCAAGTTGTTGCATCTTTGCCTCATGTTCACCTAGTATGTTGTAAATTTCCCATGTCCTTTTTGCCTTTGGGCTCTGGTCGCCCATCTCAGGTAACCTATATCCTAGAAAGATTTTGTCATAGTTTGTATTTGAGTCGTCGCTTATTGTTTGCATGACTCTTTCCTGAGTTTCCGGTTCAAGCTCTTCAAATATAGCTTGTCCATATGGAATAAGCTCGTTTCCAAATATATGTTTTTGTAGCCATTCTGGTTTTCTTTCCATGTTACCAATAATATCTTTTGTGAATGGGAAAGCTTTTACCCAATGTTTCAGTCTTGCGTCATTTATTTCTGTAGTTGGTTTTTATTTTGTCAAGGAACATGTTTTTCAATACTAACATTTCATTTGGTACTGTCCATTTGAGTTTTCCTTAATATTCATCCCTTCTCGGTTCATTGTCTGCAAAGTAAGTTTTTATGACATTTTGTAAACTTTCGTTTGCAAGGTCATGTACAATAGGTTCTCTTCCTTCTCTCTCCCTAACTTTCTTTCTAAACTCTTCACCAAATATACCATCTCTATGGTTCTGTGTAGTTCTTTGAGATAAATGTTCTAGAACGTCAGGTGTTATATTTCCTCAGCCATGTTCATTTCATACTGGTCAAAATATCTGCATGTTTCATATCTTTCAATGGCATTAAAGCGCGCTGAAAATACCAGCTATATCTGGTTCACCATTCACTTCCATTGCGTCTACAACTTCTTGGAATTGTGGTTGTAAGTTTATGAACCACCTATCCGGATTAGCTTATGACCCCATCTCATTGTAGTTCCATAGTCTGCAGAAACAAAAGTAGGTTTGTTTCCATATTGGTTAGGTTCTGAATGAACTTTAAACAATGTTTCATTTTTATATGTTTTGTTGAAATTTAACCTTTTATTTTCACCGAGTTTCAGCCAAAGATTGAACGTTATATGGTCGTAAGTAAAAAGGATTGTTGTATTTGCGTACATTTTCTTTCAGTACTTCCATTCTATGCTGAATATTTTCATCTGATGTTGGAGTCTTTTGTATGTCGGCGAACATTTTTCGATATTCTTCTACTATGTCAGCCGAATTTTTCTTAGACTCTTGGAAAGATTCCATATTCCCCGCATACACTTGTTGAGGGTCAAGATTTTTCGGCTGTTCCAAATCTTCATCTAGTTCTGTGAAGTTAGTTTCCAAAGGAGGGACTTGTTCGTTTCCTTCAGGCTCTTCTAGCTGTTGTTGCTGAACTATTTCTTCCATGTCTGGTTGTATCTGAACTTCTTCCTGTGGAGTTTCTTGTACCTCATCTGCTGGCATTTCATATATTCCGAGACCGTTTTTAAAAAGTTCCCTATCTAAGTCATCCGGACTCATAACCTTTCTTCTTTCGTTCCGTCTCTATTTTTTACGCGTTTCATGAAGAGAGTTGAATTATCATTTAGCTCTGACACCAAATATCTCGGAGTAAATTCAGTCATGTCATTTGGATGATATGCTATTAAATCATATCCCTTAGCGAGCTTGTATTTTCCAGGTTTGAAATTATATCCATTTGGTGCTGAACCATAAAGCTAAATAGGTTCGGGTCAGTATTTCCTTCCTTGAACTTTCTAATAGCTTCTTTATATCTGTCACTAAAGTCAAGAGTATCTGGGTAACCATAGTCTTCCTTAAGCATTTTTAAGAATTCTTGGTTTCCTTGTTCTCTACTTCTTTTATGTCCTTGCTCTGTTTGTGGTTGTTGTTGGTGCAGTGTTTTGAACTGTTGGTTGTGGTGCAGTGTTTTGAACTGTTGGTTGTGGTGCAGTGTTTTGAACTGTTGGTTGTGTGCTGGATTTTGAACTGTTGGTTGTTGTGTTGGTTTTGGTGCATGCCTGTGTCTGTGTCCATGTGACGATGTAAATGTTTTAGGTAGTCCTGGTGCAGGTGCTTCTCTTGGAGGGTTTGGTGGTATATAAGTTCCACTAGCTAGTATATAAGTTCCACCAGCTGGTATATAAGTTCCACCAGCTGGCACATATGTTCCATCTGCAGCATAATGTCCTACCTGACTTTTCGTTCTTAAGAAAGCATTTACTAGGTCTGTTTTGGTCTGTTGTAACTCTTTTTCTTGACTTTCCACAACAGTTGCTCTAACGGCGTCATAGGCACTTTGAACTGCCTGTCTCGTTGCTGCATCTGTTATTTTCGTCATATTTTGTGCTACTTCTCTTAACTCTTTGTCGAAACCTTCAGACTTCAGTTTCTTTCCAGATGAGAAGTCGTTCACTAGTTTCACCTTACTATGAAGAGCTTCGAAGGCGTTCTTAAAGTCAGCATTCATTAAAGCTTCATTTGAACTGTCTTCATCCGCTTGTATTTTTGTCCTTATTGACCCTATAAGTTGGGCTGCTTTGGCGTTGGCTTGGGCATCTAACCAGTCATTATTAGCTTTTATATATTCTGCGCTTTTCATTGCCTTTTGCATGGCTGCGTCGTTATTTTTACTTTCTTGTGCTAAGTTTTCATACTGTACGGTTTGGTTTTGCAACTGTAAAAGTTTTTCTGCCTTTACATTTGCTTCAACTTCTTTTTTATACTCATCGCTATCCATATATGTCTTCAGGGCTTTTTGTTTTATCTCTTCATCTTTCAGTACTTTATATTGAGTAGTATGGTTTTTCAAATTTATAACATCTTGTTCCATTTTTGCTACTTCTGCTGCTTTTTCTGACACTTTTTCGCATATTCCTCTGTACTTAGTTCTTTCAGTTGTTCTTCTTTCTTCTTTTTCTCTACGTTTAACTCATTGAGTTTCTTTGTCTGTCTGTCATATTCTAGTTTCTTTTCGTTTTCACTTATTTGTTTCTGTATGTCTATGTTTGACTTTTTGACATCTGTTATTTGATTTTTGAGTGAACTCAAATTCATTTGACTTTGAGGGTTATAAGCTGTTCCGTCTGCAGCTCCACCATAGCCTGCCATTTTCGCTAAAAGTGCCGCTCTTAAACCTCCACTCTGTGCACCAATAACTCGGTTTAAAAGCATAGGGTTGCTTGACATTTGTTGCAACATAGTGGGGTCATTCATAATTTGTTGTTGCAACTGTTGTTGTGGTGTCAGTTTTACTATTGGATGTTTCAATGCTCTCTTCCTCTTACGTATATTCTTACGTAGCTTACGTGGCATTTTAAGTGAAGTTAAAAAGCGGTTTTTGACAGATGTTTATATGACACTTTTTGTTCAGCTCAAAAAACTACTCGGTCAAAGTTTTGTCAGTTTTGTAAAATAACCGTCCTATCTCATTCTATAAGGGGAAAAAGGCTTCTCAAAGTATACTTCCTTGGAACGCCTGTAACTTTTCCTGTAGCGACGATAGACCCTTACTTGTCCGGACAAAGTTATACTATTTTGAGCGCTCTACAAAAAAGTCAACAGCGACGACTCTCAAAAACCGTTGTGTAAAAAGTTTTACCGTTGGACAAAAAAGTATATATAGAAAACAAAAAACGTTTATAGTTCATTCAATATTTGAGATGGAACGGTTTGCCAACGGTAACTATTAAATAAAATAAAAAAATAGACGGGGTTACCGTTGACAAAACCGTTTATTTCAAACTCTTATTTGAAAAAATAAAGTGGTCGGTTTTTTCACTTCATTTTAGCTCAATGTCATACCAAGACAGTAGCGATTCCGATTCAACTATCCAGGAAGAGGATTGTCATCCTCCACGGTCACTCCCAGTCCCAGATGACACTCCAAAGACTCGCTTTGACCCCGAGCAATCTAACTTCCAATTGCGCCAACAATTGCAGTCAAAAGCTGATGAATACATGGCTTCTTCTATAGAAGAAAGTATAGAACAGACCTCAGAGTATTCTACAGCTCTTGGTCAACTAGTTTCGGCGACAGTCCAATTCGAACAAATTTGTTCGAATTCAATTCAATATGCAGACGAACTTGTCCGCTATTGTCCCACTCTTGTAAGAGTACTTCAAGAACGACTCTTCAACCAGTTGCTTCCTACCTTACGCAGCCCAATTCAAATTCAATTTGCCCGTGCAGCCATAAACTTCACTCCGTACTCGTACAGCTATGACGAGGATGAACTAGCTGACGAGTACGGAGCCGAAAATGTTGGCTGGGTTTTTCGCACAACTCCTTGCGAATTCCAAGTTGAAATTGTCAACCATTTCCTCGTTCGTACTATTTCGTTACAGAATGAAGACAACGAAAAAGATGGAGTCATTCCAGGTGACCGTGTAAGAGTCATTTTCCAACGCAAAAGTGGACAAGAAATTGTATTCGAAGAATTGGTTTGCATATTCTTTAGCAATGGTCAAGACTACTGGGAAGGAAACTTGGTATTAGTCCCCGGTGAAACCATTTCTGTTTCATCGGATTTGAACCATCCATACAAGATATGGTTCAATTACGTTGCATATAACGCAGAAGACCCGAACTTTGACTCAGAATAAAAACTTCATTTATACTAAACATCTTCGGGGCTAGAGGGCGCAACGCGCCTGGAAGCCCTCCGAATAAAAACTTCATTTATACTAAACATCTTCAGGGCTAGAGGGCGCAACGCGCCTGGAGGCCCCACTACCTTTTTTTTTTTAAAACGGTGCTAATGTACTACATTAATCAATATTATAGCAACAATTTGATTAAAAATTTTCTTAGGGCAAAACTTTTCCGCGAATATTAGATTTTTGTAAGTTTAAATGTTAAAAACGGTGCTAATGTATTACATTAATCAATATTATAGCAAGTATTTGATTAGCAATTTTCTGAGGAGAAACTCGGATTTCGAAATATTGAGATTTTTTATGATTCTCCAGCAAAAATAAATTTGTTGTGTATCATAGTAGTTTATTATATCATCAATTTCGTTCACAAGATTTCTGAAGATTATTGCATTTCTTGAAAAGTTGAATATTTTCACTATCTGAGCGTGAAATATTTTTTCAGAACTGTAGTAATAGATAAAACTGTTTTGCCTGTCAAAGGGTCAAGGTTTACAACGTGTCACTTTTTGGTTTACGTGACTTTTTTTTTGTTGTTGTATGGATTTTGTATGTTTATTTAAGGATTTGTTCCTTATGAGGTATATATTCATACTATATACCTCATAAGGAGCAAGTCCCACTAGAAAGCTGGGAAACTTTCTTCGAATAACTTATCATTTGAAGAAAGTTTCCCAGCTTTCTACAAGAAACCAAAAACGAGAAAACTTGTTCGCAATTGTTCCGCATTGCGAGCAAGTTTTCTCGTTTTTGGCAGGGACTTGTTCCTTATGAGGTATATATTCATACTATATACCTCATAAGGAGCAAGTCCCACTAGAAAGCTGGGAAACTTTCTTCGAATAACTTATCATTTGAAGAAAGTTTCCCAGCTTTCTACAAGAAACCAAAGGCTGTGAGGCACTGATAATATATTTGTGCCTCACAGCCTTTGGTTTCATTTTTATATTATTAATAAAAATACAAAATAAAAAACTTAATTTTTTATTAAATTGCCACGTAAACCAAAAAGTGACACGTTGTAAACCTTGACCCTTTGACAGGCAAAAAAAACTCATGTTTTGATGACAAAATCTTCAACATTAGCATGTTAGAAAAAATTATGAGAATTTTTAAACGGCCAATATCGATCTTTGCATTCAAGTATAAAATTCTAGAAGCATGATAAATAATCGAAATGTTTCATATATGAACAATAGATCTGAAGCTAAAATACAAATTCTTTAATCAAATCGGAATATTGCAATTAAAAACTGTGCACTCGCGCATAATTTATAATAACATAGGGATATGTGATATTCAAGAAGGAAGGCAAGTGGGGCTTCCAGGCGCGTTGCGCCCTCTAGCCCATAAAAAATTTCTGAGGACGAGCCAGCCGGTGACTTTTTTGTAGAGCGCTCAAAATAGTATAACTTTGTCCGGACAAGTAAGGGTCTATCGTCGCTACAGGAAAAGTTACAGGCGTTCCAAGGAAGTATACTTTGAGAAGCCTTTTTCCCCTTATAGAATGAGATAGGACGGTTATTTTACAAAACTGACAAAACTTTGACCGAGTAGTTTTTTGAGCTGAACAAAAAGTGTCATATAAACATCTGTCAAAAACCGCTTTTTAACTTCACTTAAAATGCCACGTAAGCTACGTAAGAATATACGTAAGAGGAAGAGAGCATTGAAACATCCAATAGTAAAACTGACACCACAACAACAGTTGCAACAACAAATTATGAATGACCCCACTATGTTGCAACAAATGTCAAGCAACCCTATGCTTTTAAACCGAGTTATTGGTGCACAGAGTGGAGGTTTAAGAGCGGCACTTTTAGCGAAAATGGCAGGCTATGGTGGAGCTGCAGACGGAACAGCTTATAACCCTCAAAGTCAAATGAATTTGAGTTCACTCAAAAATCAAATAACAGATGTCAAAAAGTCAAACATAGACATACAGAAACAAATAAGTGAAAACGAAAAGAAACTAGAATATGACAGACACACAAAGAAACTCAATGAGTTAAACGTAGAGAAAAAGAAGAAAGAAGAACAACTGAAAGAACTAAGTACAGAGGAATATGCGAAAAAGTGTCAGAAAAAGCAGCAGAAGTAGCAAAAATGGAACAAGATGTTATAAATTTGAAAAACCATACTACTCAATATAAAGTACTGAAAGATGAAGAGATAAAACAAAAAGCCATGAAGACATATATGGATAGCGATGAGTATAAAAAAGAAGTTGAAGCAAATGTAAAGGCAGAAAAACTTTTACAGTTGCAAAACCAAACCGTACAGTATGAAAACTTAGCACAAGAAAGTAAAAATAACGACGCAGCCATGCAAAAGGCAATGAAAAGCGCAGAATATATAAAAGCTAATAATGACTGGTTAGATGCCCAAGCCAACGCCAAAGCAGCCCAACTTATAGGGTCAATAAGGACAAAAATACAAGCGGATGAAGACAGTTCAAATGAAGCTTTAATGAATGCTGACTTTAAGAATGCCTTCGAAGCTCTTCATAGTAAGGTGAAACTAGTGAACGACTTCTCATCTGGAAAGAAACTGAAGTCTGAAGGTTTCGACAAAGAGTTAAGAGAAGTAGCACAAAATATGACGAAAATAACAGATGCAGCAACGAGACAGGCAGTTCAAAGTGCCTATGACGCCATTAGAGCAGCTGTTGTGGAAAGTCAAGAAAAAGAGTTACAACAGACCAAAACAGACCTAGTAAATGCTTTCTTAAAAACGAAAAGTCAGGTAGGACATTATGCTGCAGATGGAACATATGTGCCAGCTGGTGGAACTTATATACCACCAAACCCTCCAAGAGAAGCACCTGCACCAGGACTACCTAAAACATTTACATCGTCACATGGACACAGACACAGGCATGCACCAAAACCAACACAACACCCAACAGTTCAAAATCCAGCACAACAACAACAACCAACAGTTCAAAATCCAGCACAACAACCAACAGTTCAAAATCCAGCACAACAACCAACAGTTCAAAATCCAGCACAACAACCAACAGTTCAAAATCCAGCACAACAACCAACAGTTCAAAATCCAGCACAACAACCTCAAACAGAGCAAAGACATAAAAGAAGTAGAGAAAAAGGAAACCAAGAATTCTTAAAAATGCTTAAGGAAGATTATGGTTACCCAGATACTCTTGACTTTAGTGACAGATATAAAGAAGCTATTAGAAAGTTCAAGGAAGGAAATACTGACCCGAACCTATTTAGCTTTATGGTTCAGCATAAAATCGGATATAATCTCAAACCTGGAAAATACAAGCTCGCAAAGGGATATGATTTAATAGCATATCATCCAAATGACATGGATGAATTTACTCCGAGATATTTGATGTCAGAGCTAAATGATAATTCAACTCTCTTCATGAAACGCGTAAAAAATAGAGACGGAACGAAAGAAGAAAGGCTTATGAGTCCAGATGACTTAGATAGGGAACTTGTTAAAAACGGTCTCGGAATATATGAAATGCCAGCAGATGAGGTACAAGAAACTCAACAGGAAGAAGTTCAGATACAACCAGACATGGAAGAAATAGTTCAGCAACAACAGCTAGAAGAGCCTGAAGGAAACGAACAAGTCCCTCCTTTGGAAACTAACTTCACAGAACTAGATGAAGATTTGGAACAGCCGAAAAATCTTGACCCTCAACAAGAGTATGAGGAGAATATGGAATCTTTCCAAGAGTCTAAGAAAAATTCGGCTGACATAGTAGAAGGATATCGAAAAATGTTCACCGACATACAAAAGACTCCAACATGAGATGAAAATATTCAGCATAGAATGGAAGTACTGAAAGAAAATGTATGCAAATACAATAATCCTTTTTACTTACGACCATATAACATTCAATCTTTGGCTGAACTCGGTGAAAATAAAAGGTTAAATTTCAACAAAACATATAGAAATGAAACATTGTTTAAAGTTCATTCAGAACCTAACCAATATGGAAACAAACCTACTTTTGTTTCTGCAGACTATGGAACTACAATGAAATGGGGTCATAAAGCTAATCCGGATAGGTGGTTCATAAACTTACAACCTCAATTCCAAGAAGTTGTAGACGCAATGGAAGTGAATGGTGAACCAGATATAACGGGTATTTTCAGCGCGCTTTAATGCCATTGAAAGATATGAAAGATGCAGATATTTTGGACCAGTATGAAATGAACATGGCTGAGGGAAATATAACACCTGACGTTCTGAACATTTATCTCAAAGAACTACACAGAACCATAGAGATGGTATATTTGGTGAAGAGTTTAGAAAGAGAGTTAGGGAGAGAGAAGGAAGAGAACCTATTGTACATGACCTTGCAAACGAAAGTTTGCAAAATGTCATAAAAACTTACTTTGCAGACAATGAAATGAGAAGGGATGAATATTTAAGAAAACTCAAATGGACAGTACCAAATGAAATGTTAGTATTGAAAAAACATGTTCCTTGACAAAATAAAACCAACTACAGAAATAAATGACGCAGACTGAAACGTTGGGTAAAAGCTTTCCCATTCACAAAAGATATTATTGGTTACATGGAAAGAAAACCAGAATGGCTACAAAAACATATATTTGGAAACGAGCTTATTCCATATGGACAAGCTCTGTTTGAAGAGCTTGAACCGGAAACTCAGGAAAGAGTCATGCAAACAATACGCGAAGACTCAAATACAAACTATGACAAAATCTTTCTAGGATATAGGTTACCTGAGATGGGCGACCAGAGCCCAAAGGCAAAAAGGACATGGG